GACAACATTGTAACTCGGCTTGGTGGAGCGTTTCAACGAGATCATGCTCTCATCCAAAAAACTGGGTAATCAATTGTTCTCGTCATGATTCTAAATAACATAATAATTAAAATATATGTCAAAGTTAAAGTTAAAAATTGAAAAAATTAAATATTAAAAATAATTCTGATGAGAAGATATATTGTTCACTCCTTAAGAAGGAATAGAGTTATTCAATTATTAAAAATTGCGAATTTTGTCAATTGTGTAAAAATAATCAAAATTAAATAGAAAAATATATAATCAGATAAAACTAAGTCTCAAAGGGAACCATATTCAAACATGTTTAAAACATAATTAATTACACAATTGACCACCAAATCTTTTCAAATAGAACTCATAGATACCACGTGTCTACAAAAGCACTCACCAGCATTAACCGCATCACACACTCAGACTAAAAACAAGTATACATCATTAATATAACAGTCTTGATTAATTGGAATTAAATGAGTCATAACGATTTTGAACCAATCGCAATGTATAACTTAGTCATTATAATTAAACTGTCGAATATTCTCGAACCGAGCTCTCAGTAAAACCATTCTCACTCTATGACTGTCTTAAAGCCCCAGCTACATCTATCGTAATGTTTATCGTAAGCTCCTTACTCCGATTCTTACGATAGCCAATTAGAAATATCAATGTGTATTGTAACGCTTTTGATTGGCTATCGCAAGGATCGTAAGAAGCTTACGATAAACATTACGATAGATGTAGCTAGGCCTTTACGCTATCTGTGCGTTACGCGTTACTCATTACTTATTACTTATTTTAGTAAGGAAACACGTATTGGTGATAAGTTACTTTTCAAAGTGACTTTTCCAGTCTTAGTACAATCTTAACATTTAGTTAGTTAGCGTTACTGTCACTAAAAATTGCAACGTTATTATTAAATTGTTTATTATAAAAAGTAACGGCAAAGTAACGGAAAAGTAACGTCTGTCAACCCTGGATATCAACGTGTATTGTTTATCGCGTTACTCTCCTATTAGCCTATATTTTTTAAATTATTTTTTAATTAAAAGGAAAAGAGAGAGAGTATATTTATGATTTAATATTTAATGCAGTTCAAGTCCATGGTATTTGCCATGGAAATGTTTGCAATATAACCGAAATTATTTTAATGTCTAGCGTCGAGGAAAGAATTTATATAATTTCTATTTTCTAACGTTCATAATGCGTTACGGCTGTAATTAAAAAATGCAATATCTTTTTTTAGATATTCTTAATCCTATGTACATTTTTTTAATATTATTATTTTTAACATTTGTGTTTATTTTTATAATTTTTTAATACACAATAAATAAATAATAAATAATAATAACATCTTTTTAACATTACCAGGTATGTAAATATAAAATCGGAATTTTTTAATAGAAAATACACGTTTATTGCTTGAAAATGATAAAAAATATTTTATTCGAAGTATTGCCCATCGCTAGCTATACATTTTTCCCACCTGTCTGACAATTTGTGGATGCCACGCTAAAAAAATTGTTGCTCTTTTTAATACCAACATTTTTTTTTATAATATAATATATTATAGGACCGTACATGTGATAACACAAACTATAGAAATCAAAGCCTTTACACGGTCTAGCTGGATCTTAATGCTTGTATGATTCTTATGTGAATTTATATACTACGTATGTAGTCCCCAGAAACGCGCGCCGAAATGATTTTTCGATCTTGAAAACGCTAACTCTACTAAACTACTACAGTAATATCACGAGTTAAATTGACTACCAATTTAACAAATTTTTGATGTTTATTCGCATCTTCGAAACGATCTTAATAATGTTGCATGACATATTAAAATCTGTAAATAATTAATTCTTATTTTTTTTACCGAGGCTCGATAGTCTAAAGGCTTCCCGAGTCAAAATTTTGACCCTTGATTAAACCTTTAATTCTATGATATAGTAGAAGCTAAAATATCAAGATAGGTTCAATTATGACACAATTTACTCCTACTTTGACTGTAATGATGTCGCAAATTTCCTTTTTCACTGCTTTTAGTGCTAAATAGGTTGATTTGCAATAGGAGTTAGGATAGTAAAATAGGTTTGATTACAACCATATCATCAAAGTAGGTTTTATCTAGTTTATAGAACATTTAAATAGGTGCAAACTATCCTTAAGAATGTCAAAGTAGTATCAAAATTTCGACTCGGGATGAATTTTCTAAGGACGCTCGCACGGAATGCAAGAGATCTGGGTTCGACTCCCGGCTGAGGTAATATTTTTTGCAATAAGAATTAATTATTTACAGATTTTAATATGTCATTCAACATTATTAAGATCGTTTCAGAGATGCAAATAAGCATTAAAAATTTGTTAAAATGCTAGTCATTAGATTTTAATTAACATTAAAATTACAATTACAAGTAATTAATTTTAATATAATCTTGAATCTATCTTAAATCTACGCACTGCTTTTATAATCTTAAATTTACGCACCGCTTTTATAATTTATGTCTTACAAATCCTAAATTATCCTATTTATAATTATTAATTTTAACCTACTCCTCTTAAATCTACGCATCGCTCTTATAACGCATGTCTTACAAATCTAAAATTATCCTATTCTTAATTTTATATGCTTTTACAATATATAACACATGCCGTATACGAGTAAATACTTATTCTATACTAAATCTAAACCGCATACCTGGCTGAATTATTTACTTGCACACATACATAGCATTTAACTTCATAAAAATTGTATAAGATTCAACTTTGCGCCATTGCTGATATCAAATCTTTTTCTTTTATAAAAATAATAGGTATATCATTGGAATTAAGTAAATGTACTAGTTTAACTTGGCGCCTGTTGTTGATATTACATCTTTTATACACACGATATACACATATCATTAAAGTTAAGTAAATGAAAAGATTATAAAAAGATAGTCTTGGATTTCACTTTTTAGTTTGATAGAATTTAATTAATTAATTTGATAAAGATACAAATGATACGTGTTATTAGAATCAACTAAAAATAATAAGAATAGTACCACTTGTGTTTTACTTTTTAAAAATTAATATTATTTTTTTATAGGACGAGAGATTGATATAGAAAGACTTTCAATGAAAATATAAAAAGGTTTATCGTATCACTTAGTAAAGATAGTACCACTTGAACTGTACTTTTTAATTTGGTACACTATTTTTTTTCTATACGTATATCAACTAGGTTTTATCATATTTAGGTTTTACCGTAAAATAATTTTATTGGATGAACACATGCTTTTAGCATCTTTTTATCTTTTTTTTAAAAAGGTAAGTTTGTATATAATTTTAAAAAATCTCCCATCGCCTCCCCCATCGTTTTAATAATTGTATTATAATATAAAAATGTCAAGGTGTATAAAATAGCATTTAACTTCATCAACAATAATAAAATATGAAGTCTCTTTACCATTAATATACTTGAATACTTAATGTAGTTGACTACCAGAATAAGATTTTATTCGGACCGACAGGAAATTAAATACTAAGTATAATCATATTCAAACCTCTATAATGGTCAAAGCTAGATCTTTTTGCCTCAATAATTCCCAGTGAATTATCTATGTTCTATACACGGAGAAAAATAATTTAGAGATGGATACCTTCCAAGACTAGTAAAAATATTTTGGCTATTTTTACCGAATTTGTGATAAATTTATCTAACGCAATTAAACTACTGCAATAATATCACAAGTTAAATTAAATTGACAATGTGCTGAAAATCTTGAATAAATTTATTGCGAAAAATATTACTTCAGCCGGGACTTGAATACGGATCTCTTGTATTCCGTACGGATCTCTTGTACTATTTCGTACGGATCTCTTGTAGTGTTTCGTACGGAATACAAGAGATCTGGGTTCAAGTCCCGGCCGAGGTAATATTTTTCGCAATAAATTTATTCAAGGTTTTCAGCACATTGTCTATTATAGACCGTTATAGACTTGAATATGATTATAAATAATTAAATTAATATTTGACTACCAGATTGAGGAATTGATGAAATAGCTAATGGTTTCTCCGTATTCTTCTCAGACGCATGTATTTGCAGTTTTATTTCCGTAGAGGTTGTTTCATTGACCTTTTCTGTTCTCTCAATTCGTTCTATAATTCTATTCTTGCTTTTTTACGCAATGATTTTCGGTTAACCCTGTTACTGATCATTGTGTCGACTACAGGAACGGTAATTGTAGTTTAAGTTTACGTCATGTGCATTATAGATTTTCAGTACTGGCATTAAATTTTGTAACACAGCTTTAGTAAATCGAGTTACCATAGAAACGTTTAATTTTTTTATATAATGAAATTGAAATACCGAAATTGACGTAGGCAAAATTCTGTTGTCTTCATTAACCATGAAATAGAGGGAAAAAAAATGTTGAAAATGTAACTTTTCACGTATAACTTAGTGACAGATACGACTCTCTGACGTTCCTTTGATTAACTGCATACAAATCTTGCCATAGACTTCTCAAAAACAAGATTAAATTCACATAAAGCGCACAAAATGGTGACTACGAATGAGTTGTTTTAAGTTCTGTTTTTTATTTATACATTATCTAAATTAGTGCACACGATGCAATAAGTTGAAGTGAAATATATATTTGTTTCACTTATTGCAGCATGTGCATCAGTTCGAAAAATGCAGGAATAAAAATCAAATCTTTAATATCTTGAAATGAATAATGCAGAGGTAGAAGAATTATCGAAAATGTGATTAAGTCACAGTAAAGATCAGTTTATGACATCGAATGTGTTGTTTTTTTTTTTTTTTAAGAAATAAATTAAAAGCCGTTTATCTATGTATGTGGCACAGAGTAAAGTAATATGCAGTACGTATCGCCGAGTTGAGGTCTGCTAATGCTTTGTAGTGGGAGAAAACGCTCCGTTCTGTGAGCTGGACAGGTATAAGGAACTTGAGTTAGTTTCATGTACGCTCAGTGTATGTTTCGTTAGTCGACCCGCTTCGAGGGAAGTCGATTCATCGCGCATCTTGTCTTTGTCGAGAGAGGTGCGTTTTTATTCTCACCCTGTGGCATCTTCTTCAAATGTGGTACTTTCTTCAAATGCCCGGCAAATCGAAGAGGTAGTCATGTCATGAGGCCATTGAGTAAGTAAAAATCTTGCCCGAGATAAATGATAACGTGAGTAAAAGAAAAATAGTTCTCCAAATTTTAATTAGTCAATTCCAGTGTAATTGTGAGCCGCGAGTAAGCGTTTAACAGAAGTTTACAGACCTATAGATAAGACGATAAATAATGTTTTATTACGTACACACGTTGGAACATGGCACACGTACCACCTACCATCGTACCGCACAGACGGATGAGTAATTCTCTTCATGTCACTTAATATATCGTTGATCAAATAATTGATTGAGCTCATCGAAAGAGTTCTTAGTAGAAAGGGACGTGCTATAATTTCTGAGGCCATTTCGCATAACCCGTCCACTTGTCGATTGTCGTTGTAATATCGTGTATTTTGTGTGTGTGTGTGTGTGTGTGTGTGTGTGTGTCGTATAAATTTAAATTCAAATTAAGATTCAAATCCGGATTTTATTATGTCTATTAAATTCAAATCCGGATTTTATTATGTCTATCATTATGATATTTAAGAGAATAAAAAAAAAGTGAGAGTATTATATTACGCACCTATGGAATTCACATCTTATTAAATCGGTTGTACTAAAACCCACTTCTTCTCCATCTCTAGAACGTCTTGAAACTTAACGTAGGTCGTGGATAGTGACCGCGATTCTCGGAGGATCGCATATTTCTTCATGTTCCCGTCGGTACATCGTTTGGAATTAATGCTCAAAAGAGATTGCACATTCTCTTATTGTTTTCAAATTTTTTTAACTTTTAAACTTCCACTCGCGCTTGCGTATACAATAGTGGTCGCCCTTCGGTGTTTCATCGAATTTATGTTTACAGAAATATATGATGGAAAATTATTAAATTGTGTGATTAAAAATATTAATTTACTTCGTATAAAGTACAAATCAAGTTAAAGTCAATTAGGAAATATATTTTCGAGGATAATGGTATCTTGATAAAAAAAAATATATATATACAATATGTCGTTAACCAAGTTAAAGATCGCTATTAACTAAGTCAATTAGGCAGACACGTATTATCACGTGTTTATTTTTGTAAATATAATTTTGATGTGCACTTTTGGAAGTGAAAGAAGTAAAAATACGAAAGGAATTTTCTGTTGCATACAAGCGAGTGGATTTTGAGCACGGCCGGAAACATTTAAGGAAAGCGATTAAAGAAAGTCGATTTGCACACTTATGCTATTTGGTATTTGCGATCGCTTTTCCAATCATTCATACCAATTAGATAAGGATGTCTTTCCAGTCACGTCTTAGCAACGCTCGGACGCGTTTTGGTGGTCAGTGTCCCGCTGACATACTTTGAAACGCAACCGGATGCTGGCGTGCTATTGGCTGTTATTAAACATGAACTGTCGTGCAACTGCGTTTTACCACATCTCACAGTAACGCGAAGATTCGCCTTCTCGCAACGGAATAACGTAAGTTTATTCGAGCGAAATTTTGCCATGCTATATTTTTTAAAATTAGAATATCTCGAATCCCGTTATCGGCTACACGCATGCTTAAGTCGGTTATCAAAGAGCGTGAAGTAAAGTAAATAACACGCGGCATGATAACTTCTCGTGCTTCCTCAGTCGACATACGCGCGAGACGAGTAAGTTTGCAACACCTGTACCAGCGTCTAATGTAGTTCAGCGGAAACCGTAGTTTTTCATCGTGTTGTAGCTGTCAGTAGGAATAATAATGATTTGATGTTAAACGGTTTTTACGTTTATCATCGTGTACGCTCTCTTACGCTGGGTAGAAAATTAACCAATCACAGTCGAATATGAGAAGAATAATCGATTATGATCGGTCTATTTTCTATACTGTTAAATTTATAGCGTCAAATTTAACCTAATGTGAGTCGCCACTGCTCCTACTAAATATATCATTATTTTTTACTAAAACGATAATTAAAATTAACACTGTATAATGTCAAATATAACCATTGTTTCAATATATAGGAGCAGTATCGACTCACATTAAATTTAATTTGACAGGCTTTCTACAATAAATCATTGCCTTAAGCTTTAAGTCTTAAGCTATAAGAAATTGACCAATCATAATTAATTATTCTTTTTACATTCGACTATGATGGGTTAATTTCTTATGATTTAAGACTTAAAATTTAAGTAATAGAGAGCTTATTGTAGAAAGCTTTTATAGTAGATTTAACAATGTACGACCGCTATGACTTCTATTGTAGACCCCGCATTTATGCTAGCATCGGACTATGAACGGATATCTACGTAATTCGCAGTTTGTTGCTACAAGATTCTTATTTGTCGTTCGCCAATGTGAACCTTCAACATCGTCTGTTTGAACTCGTAATTCATGGCACTGATGATATGATTCGTTTGATATATCACGGCATAATTTGATGGTAAATTATTTTGTAATTTGTGTTTTTAGGATTGCATTAACATTTTGATAACCATGTGTATCCAATTGATTACACATTTATCAAACGCCGCGTGTGTGCATCACAATTTGAATAAACACATATTTCTTAGTATTACTACCATTTGTAAATGAACCGAGAATATTTGCATTAATTTTATGCGGTATATTGCGGATTCTGGAAGAATTTTTCATTAATCTATCAACTTACCCAAAGGTTTTTATTAAAAAAACATATTTGGTTGCAAAATGTATTTTGATGTAAAAAAATGTATTTAAAATTAAGTTATATATAAAATACAATACTATGACATAAAGGGACTAAAAAAGAATCTGTGCGGCAATCAGGATTAATAATAAGGATAATAAGAGTATCATCATGAAGAAATTAATTTGTGCCGTTTAACTCCGTTAGAAACCCGTTCCGTTAGCAAATCGACACGATTGATAATAAATAAAGTCAATATATTTATCCATTTGCACTTGCGAAACTCGTAGTCGAACTAACATGCGTAGTCTGACGCAAGCTTTAGCGTTGATTTTCGCGAATTCAAGAGTTGTACTGGTTATGTATACGTGACGAAGTTACGAGAGCGTGACTTGTATCATGACAAGATGTTTAGTTTGTAGTTTATCGAGCCATTGGAAGGAATAGGAATGCACCGGAGAGAGTGATAGTCGAAAAGAAATGGGGACGATTCTCGGCGTTCTCGGCCGATCGATTCGTGGTCATGGCTGAAGTCACGATCACGCTCGCGCTCATCTATGCTTCTCACATAACGGGTTTTCGGTGTAACGGATTACCCGGACGCTCGGTTTCTCTCGGTCACATTGCCTCGATGTCAGGACAGTGACCTAGAATTCCTCTTGCTTGCATCCGCTTCTGGCTATAGGCGCCGTCTGCCTATGCACTCTATCGCGATCAATTGTATTATCCAACGGACATTGCGATGTAGGATTGGATTTTATATTGTCCACCCGGCGCCGAAATAACGCAAAAATCATGAAGACAAAGGGTAAACGGGATTTATTGGAACTACTCGGGAAAATTAGAAGCGTCCAAAGAAAATTGGTCGTCCGTGTATAAAAATATAATTGTGCCGTCCCAGAAATGTGTGTGTGTGTGTGTGTGTGTGTGCGTGCGTGCGTGCGTGCGTGCGTGTGTGTGTGTGTGTGTGTGTGTGTGTGTGTGTGTGTAAGGGTGATCCAGATCAACTGCGGGACGGCATATATATATATTCCTCATGAAAAAGTGAGTCGAAAATGTCAATAGCAAAATGTTGTGGTATCAACAATTTTTAAACGGTGAGCCTTAGAAGATGTCCAACCACAAGGCATGAATTCGCGTCGTCAGGAACGGCGCAACTAAACAGCGCTCGAACGCTTTGATGAATACTGCTAAACGGCACGATACCGAATGATTATTGCAAAGTTTCGTGAAATCTCTGTATTAACCTTTACTGCAGTATTCTTAAATTGAGTCCGATTCAATTGATGAGTAATGTTAATTGCAAATTCGACACAACGTCATTTATATCAGTAAGAAGGATTTTTGAAATATGTTGAAATAAGTAATAAACAAATTTGTAAATAAAATCAATATTAATTAAATTATTCAAACAAATATTATTAAAAATATCAATCGACAGATGTTTCCAAAACTTCTTTTCTGTCACAAACAACATTAGAAAAAATTAATTTCAGAATACTGCAGTGAATGTTAACACAGAGATTTCATGAAACTTTGTTTTGCGGTATTCATCAAAGCGTTCGCACGGTCGGCTGCTTAAGCTGTGTATATACCTAGCGAACGAACACCGAACGAACAGCAAACGTAAAAATTTGTATTGTTGTTTGTTACATAAAAGTTGCACAAGTTTAATTGCTACATGGAACGAACATCGAATCTGGTCGAATACCAGTATTCCGTACAATCGAGAAAAAGAATAAACTGCTCACAAATATAAACACTAATATCCGAACATTCGTGTTCGGTGTTCGTTCGCTAGGTGTATACATGGCTTTAGTTGCACCGCTCCTGACGGCGCGAATTTCATGCCCTGTGGTTGGACATCTTCTAAAGCTCACTGTTTAAAAACTATTGATACCATAACATTTTGCTATTGACATTTTCGACTTACTTTTTCATGAGGAATATGTATGTGCCATCCCATGTGGTTGATCTGGATCACCCTGTATATATATATACACACACACACACACACACACACACACACACACACACACACACACACAATATTATTTGTATACAGAAATCGATTGAAAAAGAAAAGGCAAGAAAGGAATTATGCTAGATATGAATCACGTTTTATCTTTTTCTAGTTCTTTATCTTTTTTTCTAATTTTTAGAAAAAGAAGTAAAATCTTAGACACAATTGAAAACCATAAACAATAGGAACTGAGAATATAGGTATAACAGATTTCAGAAATGTTCCTATTACCTGTGTTTTTCAAATATGTTTAATAGCAAATTCGATTGGGTATAGTAATGCGCATTGATGCATATTAAAGCTGTCGCACATTAATCTAGCAGGGTGTTTTCTACCGGAGAAAATCTGGAAAACCTAGAATTCTCAAGGAATTTTTTT